AGGTCAGACCGACGCAACCGACTTTCTATGGGTCACATGCTTTGGTAGCTGTACATCGTGCAAGAAAGCCTCATAATAAAATATCATCTTGCAAGTAAGTTAATATGTAAAAGAAAAATATATCTAAGGCATTGACTTAGAACAAATCTTAAAACTAGACAGGATCACTCTAGGAATACATTTCTCAGTCCCACATATCATGAAGTAGGAATCAATGGGTGAAAACTCCAATTAACTCTTAATCAGACTGGTTATATATAGGTATATATAAAAACAAAGTCTAAAGCTTGACCAAGAGACAATTCATATCTCTAACTTCTGATGAATTCAACGCACATCAGCATCTATTGAATATTCACGAAACCTTGTTCAAATAAACCATAGTCATCGGAAAAGCATTACAAAAGCATCAGTTCAGACTGCAAGACTACAGTCAGTCTGTCACTTACACCATGGATATGATGAGTGATAAGTCCTGACTTGCACATATATTCAAAATCTGCTTATATTTCTCAATGCAGTGAAGGGCACAACTTATTCCCAGACTCCACTATGTTAAAAGTCAAAGTGATTGAAAAGTACACTCAAGCCACCTCAAATAATTCACTAAACACGTCTTAAGCTAAATTTAAAAGCAAAGCTTTCTGAGGAAACACCTCTAGTTGAAATTACGAGATATTTGTTCTAAAACCTTCAACATCATAAATTTGCTTGGACTTCTCAAAATATCCCAAAGTCAAAATTTCATAAAATCAATGGGTACACTTCTTTTTACAATTTACAAGAGTCACTGTGAAAAAGTGCAATGACTTAACCCCAGAAAAGATACACAATAGTTAAATTACATGTATGATATAAATAGGAACTCAAACTTACCTAAGATAGAGAGCCAGCACTCGTGAACATAAGGGGAAGACTTGGATTTTTAGGTCCTCTAGTCCGAAGAAAAATAGTGCAGAGTGCAGAAAAATTGGTGAGCACAATGGCAAAGTTTTGAATGCCAGGCTTGCCAAAACTCTGGGGCAAACTGCCACCCAGAACATTCCATTGCCACATGACCAGCTCAGGCTGTCATTGGACAACTTTAAAAAATGTCACACATGACTCCAATACTGATTGGTCATTTAGTATCTAGGCAGATGAGCACTCAGGAGAAGTTTATGGCTTTCACAGCTTGGGTAAGGTATGAACAACAACTAGGGATTAAGTGTCCCAACATCCTACTGATCTCCTGAAAAGTTATTTGGGAGTGTACACACAGTGGTGTACCATAGAGCTAGCTCTATGGGTGTACTAGTCAGAGATTAAAGGCAGTGGATACAAAGAGCAGGAACATTAAAGATAAACTGAAGGAAGGGCAGGCTATTTGACAAAAGGAATGGGCAGTAGATCAAAGGTTCAACTCTGGAACACTGCTTACCAGTGGAAAAGGCAAAAGCTCAGGAAAGAACAATTTAAATATGCAAAAGGAAAACATATTCATAAAGAAATAAAATTTGAAATTGCAACCCAAGACCTCTTTTGGGATGGGGTTACACTGGTTTGGGTTGGTTATTGTGACAGAATGTGATGTTGGCAGGTGTGGGTAGGTTATTGTGACAGAATGTAAATGTATCTTTATGTTAGTGCTGTTAACCTGTACACATGGAGCAGAGGTGTAGAAGTGTTCACGTGCATGTACGTGTACCACATGCCATAGTGTACATGTACATGGTGTATTTGACCTGTGCTCCACAGGAAGTATGGTACATGTACCAGTAAACCCTTTGAGCAAGGTACTGTACATGTACACCCGGTTATAATACATGTCGTACACGGTACATGTAGCTACTACAATGTTCATGTACGTTGCTGGTACCATGGCAACCATTCATCTAACAATAGAATGTACTGATACTTGATATTAAAATCTGGTCTTCATTCTAACCAATCTCTATGATTCTACAACCCATTGTGCGTGTGTCTTTCTTTGAGTTGGTTGTGGTTTTATATTTTGAGCAGGAAAATTAGTAATGTCATTAGAATGAGATCCAATGCTACATGTACATTTACACGTAGTCCTACATGTACAGTCTCAACTCCAATAGACCGTACCGTATATTCTATTCTACATGTACGTTGTCTTTTCTACCCCTCTGACATGTACATGTAGATTTTTACCAGGGTCCCCCATGACCTTTTACAACAGATTGGTGAACACATGTGCTTGCTGGAGAGTACAGCGTATTTGATGTGTAAACAACATTGACCTCTGTGCAGTGTAATATGGCATGGGAATAAAAGGACTGGAACATGTGATGTTGTCATCGACTTGGGAATACCCTAAGCATTCATTTTGCATACAACGTTCATGTACAGCCAGCATATTTTCACACCTGTAGATGTCAACTGTTAAATTTATCACTATCCAGTCATTTACACACATGTATTAACTGTATCTACTTGTAGCATGTCTTCATCAAGATCTAATACGAGTTCAGAGTAAGTTTAGCTAAAATGTCTAGGTTATATTTTACAGTGATATGTTTCCTCTTACTGACTGCAGGTCTACATAAAGGTACCTGTACTAGAGCAGGCACTTGAAACTACAAGTACTAGTTCATAACCCTAATGTAAAAGCAGGATTTCTTTTTCCAAATTTGAATTATAAATTCCTTCCCCCCACCCAAAGAAACTTTGAAAACTTAAGTTTATTCCTAGTGGACAAAACTTCAATGTTGGTCTTTTTGTGTTGTGTTGTTTTGGCTGTTTTAGGTTTCCTTCCATGGGTTCAGCTGCTGGGAGACCAGCACAAGGGTCAGCAGCATTTACTGCCACTTTCTCTCCGAGAATATTCTCACGCCCACAGAGCAGAACTCAACAGACACCTCAGGGTAGATACCATAGCACATCTCATAGCAGTCAGTTCAACACACCCCAGACCAGACAACCCAACACAACCCAGGGTAGACAACAAGAGCCGGGTATTAGCAACAGAAGCCAACCTTTCCAGCCACTTGACAAAGACGGGGAGGTCAGCATGGTGTGTGAATCCTGCTCTGCCAATTTTACCATCTTTAAAAGAAAGGTGAGAATGGTTAGTTTCATTGGCTGTAACATCTCCCCCTTGCATTCTCCATGTGCTTTGATGACTGTTCATTATACCCTGAGATTACTAACAAGGTTATCAGAGATTTTTGTAAGACTGTCTTTTACCTGGAGTAAACAACGTACATGTACACATAAGCAGACTTTTTGTGAGGGTTGTGGAAAGTAAGATTTGCTGTTTTGATGTAATATCCAAGGATTTAGTGGGCATAAAAATCCAATTTTCCTGTTTGTGAATGATATTTTGACCACTCATCTTGAGATTGTTCTGAGACTGTCAGATCCAACTAATAAACAGACTGACAGTTTTGATCTGCTAAATTCAACTGTTTTTCCATCGACACCTGCATCTCTAGAACCGATGCATGGACTGTTCTAAGCTGTTCTGTACCAACTGCATGAGCAAGGAACCTCGGAAGTGCTGTAAAACATGTCATATGTTCATTGGTTCTACAGAGAGGAGTCAGCTGATGCAGTTTAAGGTTAGTAATTGGTGTGAAGATTGATGTGAGGGTGTTTCACATTTAGAAACAGGTGATTGAAATTGTAGAGAGTAGGGCATTGTCGATTAAAATACCCAAGGCCACTTGCATTGTTATTTATAAATCACTGTCACTGCCGTTAGCTTTTCAATAATTGTCATGTCATAGCTATTATTGTCTTGTCAATCTCGTTGTCTGGTCTCCTTCAACCTTGTCACAATGGTGATATTCTCAATGCGTTCAGGCCTCAAATTTCATTTTTTTTAGGGCACTGCCATTTGGTATTGGTGGACAGGCTGAAATAAAGGGCACCAATGCCAAACGTGAGGGCATTAATGCCATCAGCGTACCAAAGTTAAAGGCATTAAAGCCATCAGCGTACCAAAGTTCTGGCCATTAAAGCCATCAGCGTACCAAAGTTAAGGGCATTAATGCCATCAGCGTACCAAAGTTCTGGGCATTAATGCAGTCCCGATATTTTTGCATAAAAATCAATATTCATTCAGCCTGGCCTAAAAAAGTAGGATAGGGCCTACGCATTATTCCTGAACATGTCCATGATTAGTGTTGAACCAGCAACCAAGTGTCGAAAAGCTTTGGCCTGTTTTGACTGCAGCCGTTCTTTCCGTGTCACTTTGCCTACCACAAAAACTGGCCAGGCCAGTAAAGTGATTGATTTTGCAGACAACAGCGTACGTGAGAATCAGGGTAGTCCCAATCGATGTCGCGTACGCGTATGTACAGTTTGGATTACGCATGGCGTGTGGCACTAAACTACAAACACTAAATTGCAGTGTTAGTTAAAATACGGCCATGACCATACAATTGTCCCATGTGCATGAAAAACGTGGAGCTCTCGATATACCGATATACCAACATTATTGCATGGTACTTTGAAATACTTGGCTTGGGCATGTGCTATTATGTGGTGTTGGATAGGCTTACGGGTGTTGCGATGTGTAGTGTGCATGGCGCGGGCCAGGCAACCAGTGTGCGGCAGGCTGAGTATACGATATCCCCACATACACGTAGTGCACGCACACCCATACGTGCCATATGCATGCATGCCATGTATTTGGGTGGCGCAGCGCGGTGTTCAGGTCGAATGTGAAGGATCATGGAAAGATATACATGTATGTATGTCGCTTTATGTCGCTCTGTGTACCTACCTGAATGGGGGTAGTCGATATATGCACATAAAGGGCACTACGGCCAAGAGAAAAAAAGGCGCTACCATCTTGGGGGTAAAACACTATCACTTTTCTGAGGGATGACAGCCAAATGGGAGGGCACCAACGGCCATGACCGTCGTGGATATTGGGAAATTTGAGGCCTGTACGTTCATGGTCATTATCACCACCGTTATCGTTCTGTAGGATTTAACGATTATTGTTAAAACGCTTTTCTTCACCTTCATATAGTACCAAGACAGCCTGTGTTATTTTATAATTACCAAAATCTATCATCTTTTTTAATCGTAGTTATCTTTGTTATTGCCCGGCTAGGTGAAAGACCTGCGTCAGTATTTAGCTGCACGGAATATAAATACAGTGGCCTGTCGTGAAAAGGGTGAATTAGTCGATTTGGTGGTGCAGTACTTAGCAACACGAAATGGCAGTAAATTTACAGTCACCGTTAACAATTTAGAAGAGGAGGTACAGCCCATGCCAACACCTGTTACCAATGAGGCTGTAAGGGCTGAGAGAGGACCAAGCATATCAGAGCTTCGTAGTTCGCAGACACAAGTCAGTGATACTAGACCACAGCCAAACCGGGGACCCGTCAGGCAAACGCATGTAAGTACAGGTGGTTGTGTCTTCAATAAAAGACTGATTTGTGTTATGCTGCTTGTCTGCGTAGGTTTTGTTTCAGAATGATTGTCAGAACTTTAATGTTGAGAGGTATTGTACATTTTTTAGGGAATCTCTTTAAACCCTTTTGTGGTAAGGTCACAGAGTTTGTGATTGAAAGGAAACTTCTTGGCACCACAAACTGAATCCCATGTAAAAGAGTTTTGTCTGAATATGCTTCAGCTAAATGGCTTAAGAAATGCTACACTGCCCTCAGTTCAAGAACAAAACTCAAATATGAAGCCCACCTCCTCCCATTAAATAATAAAAGTGTCTTTGCCCAGCAGAAGCACCCCCTAATCAGTTGAAAAAACCGTGTTTGTCAGGAGTGTTCAATGTGTAGGTAGTCGTGGGATCATGATGCCAGTATTTCCTAGTTGTTCATGAACCAATGAATTTCAGTTCCAACCAGCCTCTGTTGCTAAGAAAATTGCGCCCTCTCTTGGTTCAGCTCAAGGCCCATAGTGGGTCTTTCAAAATTCTGCACGCTAATGTTTGGTGTCTGAAAATTCAATAAAACCGTAAGAGCCTGGCCATTGACTAGTCTACCATCTTTATGTTGTCTTTGTAGGATGAGCCAGACATAGGTATAACAAGGAATACATGGGTGGAAGGATCTAGTGCTAGTAGCTCAGAGGCTGAGCGTAGTCCTGTTGTAAGCATCTCAAGCCCTGAAGATGAACCTAGTAGCACTACAGCCACTCCAGAGCAACCTAAACCAGTAAGAAATAAAGGACAAAAGGGGATTAATGACTTAAGTCAGAGTTAGAGTTGAGTTTTGATTTAAATGACATAGACTCAGCCTTGTTACATGTAGTTGTAGACTGTAAAATGTTAGTGGAAACAATCAAATAATGGACTCACGATTGCCAAACTCAAAAGACAGGGAAATCGTTTTGTTCTGCATGGATTTAGCTGCAGGACTGTCTTCATGAAAAGCAGCTTTCAAGAGAGTTTGTGCCATTTCATGTCGTCTCTTCTCCATGCATTAAAGTTTTTACAGATCCTTTAAGAATTAATAAAAATCTGTTTGACAGAACATTTAAGATTAGTTCAGTTTGTGATAGAAAATGAAGACCAAGGATACACTACAGAAGGGCTTGAAACTCTTGAAAATTGTCAGCCTTTCAAATGGTTATTTCATTCAGTCCTGAGCTTTTCTTACAATATTTTGTCCTGTTTTCTTCATTCTTACAAGGCCCCAGCAAGGCATCGAACATCTATCAGCGATCTCAAGACAATAGATGAAATAGCTGATCTGACCGTGCGACAGCTTAAAGAAATTCTTATACTAAACTTTATCAACTATAAAGGCTGTGTGGAACGCTGGGAACTGGAAGAAAGAGTCCGAAGGTTATACACGGAGAAAGAGGGCTTTAAGATCAAAGGTTAGTCTTGGAACATTGAAGAGGAGTGGAAGTTGTGTGTTGCATGTGTGTGTGGGAAATAATGATGTACATCTGATTGTTAGTTTGCTTAATGGGTGGCAGGTTGGCTAGCAAACCTTTAAGGAAACTAATCAATGTGCTGGCTCTCTACATCTCTCGTTCATTCATCTGGATGGTTTATCTTGGCCAGATACATCTAGCAGGCTTTCTAGCAGGAAAACTGATGGGCAGACAGGGATGTCCTTGACCTATATATTTTTACTCAAAGGTGGCATCAAAGTTCATAAATTCAGAGTTCATGTTTGGAGGAGAAGTGTCAGTTTTTATGTTTCATATTGAATTTGTTTTAAAATGGTCATTACATAAGCCTTATATTTGAACACTTTTCTTGCTTATTATGACTAGAAGTCTAATCTTTTTCTACAGAGCAAGCTGCTGCAGCAAGAACCAGTTCTGATGGTGAGTAGAATAGAAGACACAGGAATTACACAAGTACATTAACTCGGGGATAATGGACATTATTTTAGTCTCATTTTTTTCCAGTTTACTAATAAAATAATTTTGTTATTTGTTTGTTTAGTTATTGTTTATTTAAGCTGGGCACAGCCCTATCAGCTATATACTGTTCTCTCTACAGCCTTTGGGTAGAGAAGAAATGTTCAGTTTCGATATGAGAGGAAAACCCTGGACATATTTTCCAGGAAAGACCCACAAAATCAGGTGAGCAGTGAAAACATAATCTCCATCGGTCTTGTTGGATTGACTTCACGGGTCGTAGAGGTGGAGGGCAAGGATAGTACCAGGGTCAACCTGACTGAAACAAACCTTTTGGGGTTGTTGCATTGCTGTGTCATGATCTGGACAGTGAAAGGTCAATATACTGGCAGTGTATTCTGATCCTTGAATGTACCCAGTGCTATGGTATTAAATGATTTTTGAACCTGTTTTCTCGCAGCACCTAAAGCAGCTACAGTTGAACATGAAGAGGATAACACCTGCAGGATCTGTATGGACTCTCCAATTGACTGTGTACTATTAGAGTGTGGTCACATGGTCACATGTACCAAGTGTGGTAAACAATTGGCTGAATGTCCCATGTGTCGTCAATATATCATCCGAGCTGTGCATGTTTTTCGCTCATAAAACCCGTTGGTCAATTGCCTTGAATGTTTCCAAAGGCTGTGTTGATGTAGCACAGTGGTTTTATTAACATTGGCCATTTTGTGCATGAACAGTTTAGTAGATCAGCTAGATGCACAGAAACTGTTACATGATATTTAATCTACATAGGGCACAATTAATCCATCTGAGATGGAAGTCAAAGTTGTAAAATCTCTGTGGAGATGCAAGAAAATGCAAGGTGTAAAACATGGTTGAGGTTGTTAGTTTTGCCTGTAATTGAAATCACATCTTACGTCTTAATTGAAAGGATTCTCCTCAGGTTTGATGAGCAACAGGGTCATTCTGTAAATTCAGGGTACAAATGTGCAACATTTTTGTGTCCGTTACACCTGACCTGTGTAATTTTCAATGGAAATATCACTGGTTGATTGATTGATTGATTGATTGATTGATTGATTGATTGATTGATTGATTGATTGATTGATTGATTGATTGATTGATTGATTGATTGATTGATTGATTGATTGATTGATTGATTGATTGATTGATTGATTGATTGATTGAAATTGATTTCAGTCTTTTTATATTTGTTTGACAGGAATTTTGCATTAATTCATCACTCTTGGAAATTAGAAAATGTGTTCTGAACTTACAAAATCATTTGTCAGATGTGACAGCGACATGAAAAAATTGGACCCTTGATTTGTAGAATGACCCAAGTTCACAAGAAAACTTTAACATTGCCTATCCTGCAATTCAATCATAAGAAATGAGGAAAGAAAATTTCTGGGGAAAAAAAGGGGGCAAGATACACCAGGAATGGTTTTAAAAGTAATTTAGCTTTTGTGAAATTTAAGATAACCACCTGGGGATGTGTTAACCCTCAACAATGTGCTGCAGTTTTGTGATGACAGAAAGAGACAGTTTCATGTAAAGGGTAACATACATAATTACCCCCATTCACACACTGTCTGACTTGTTCATGAAGCCTTACTATATTAATGTATATCCCACAGCACAGAAGCAAGTACTGCTTCGCAGCATTGCCACAGATTGTAGGAAAGACAACCTTTCCATGAGATATGTTGTACAAATCTTTTACGAATTACCCAGAGTATGTGTGGTGTTCCACCTGCGAAAAGTGGGAAGGGTGTCTTGTGAAGAGAAAATAATGCTGCCCCTGTTGTTGATTCACTGTGAAATAACTCTGCCCATGTGGATAATTAACAAGTGGTTAATCATACTGTCCAACTGTTGTTGCAGGTTCTGATTCTGGAACACCTTTTTTTTTTAAAGAAATTGGCTGGAGTGATGAACAGATGTATTGAAAAAAATGTCTTGTGTTTGCATCCAAATTCCCATAATGAACAACACATCATTTGCTAACACTTGCTGTGTACATGTATATTGATGACAGGGATTCAAGTCAGAACTAAATAGTCGAAAAAAATATGAGAGGAGGACATAATAGCCAGTGTACCCTAACAAACTTGGAAAAGGGCAAACTTTCAGGAAGGGGCAGAGGTCAGTGGAGAAGGTATGTTTGCACACATGAAAAGCATTCATGACAACAATGACAACCCTGTGTGTCACTTGTGATAGCATTTGGAAATACAAACCAAACTTGGCTCAAATTATGTGATAACAATAGTTATAGCAACTCCAAACTGGTTTCAGGTGCACAGTGATTTGGTAATTAGTCATATGCACTGTGCCAATTATGCACTTTAATTCCTGTATGTGGATCAGTGCACAGTTTCCAATTCGAACAAGTTTTCTTTCCGGCACTGGACACTAACTACCAATGCCTACATCTTTCTTCTTTAAACAGACTATGAACAAGTTTTTAAAGAATCATTTACTCATAGGTAAAATGTTTAGGCTTTAGGTTTTATATTTCTTGCACAGTACTTCGTTTAACTTCCCAAAGCCCCATTTGTATACGTGCACATGTTCTTAATCTTGAAACAATTGTTTAAAAAGTAGAAATTTGTGTCGACACAAAATTGATGCAGCTCCGAATTTGTTGGATGCAATTTCTACTGTTAACCGATGTCATTGTTTTGGTGCCCCAGGAATAGTACAGATAGAAGAGTTTGGCTCTTTCATAAATAACATCCTGGCCCACTAAAGGTGAATTGAAAGTCACAGAAATATTCATAGTCTTATGCAGTTTCTGATGAAACTAAAATTCAGTTGTGAAAAAGGTTTTCATTTTGTCTAAGATTCCCTTAAGTATAAGTGTTGAAATGTTATAGAAGATTTTTAAAAAGGTACTGTATTTTGTAATATTTATTTTCCCATACTCTGCCCAGTATGTGGCCATCTTTGTCAGTTGAAGATGTCACTTAAAATGACCAATAAACGTGCACGCAAAGCAGATTATTCTTAAGATGATCGCATGAATGGCAAAAACTGATTACAGTCAGCCAAAAGCTTAGGTTTCGGCTCTGTAGTTTGGATGTTAGCATCAATGGTAGAATCACAGAATTGATGCTTTATTTTAGTGTTAAGAATTTGAGCATTGCCTTTTTTGTAGCACTCCCAATATGTAAAGGATATGCAGTAACTGACTTGACTTTGAAGATTACATTGTGTAGTTGTTTGGAGACTGTGCAGAACAAAGTGAACGTAATTCTTAATACTGTGTGGGGTTTAGTTGTGAGAATCATTTTAAGGAAAATATCAAAAGTTTCCAAGTTCACCTCAGCTTGCTGACCTCTGAAACTCTGCAATACTTGGACATTTGGTGTAAAGATCCACAGTGCCTGTGTGTGCTCTGCTGAGCTACATGTATGAGCACAGCATTTGACTCTTTGTGATACTTCTACCAAATATGAAAATCATGGTTTATTTTGTAAGTTGACCAAACATGTTAACCTTGTCTTGTGCCTTGTATAGTTATCAACTGTAACATCTTCTGCACACGTAACACTTACACCTGTATTGTGTATTGGAACATCGTTAAAAGATGTTTTGTATGTAAATCTGAAAGATTTGTGCGGAGTTACCGGTAATTGATTTCTTATGATATAAACATGTTTATTTGGAGGGTATATTTGTAAGGTTATTAAAGTTACCAAATGCAGGGTGCCCTCTCCCAAGAAAGCAACCCAAAAGTAACATTCATTTTCCCTAAAAATAATTGTCAGAAGTCAGGTTTGTTGGTATCAACTTGAAGCCTTCAGGATGTTATCTTTTTAAAACTGAAAACTTCATTTTAATCCAGTAATGCACTACCGTGAGAGAATCTCGACTACGTAAGACAAGTACGTTTTGGGATTTACCATTGCAGTCAAAATGCCACGTTCACACCACTTGACATCTGCTAATACATGAAATAATTGGAGAGGCTAACAGAAGGATGCTGAACTGTGTTAACAAACGTGATCCTGAGGTGGTTATTCAGAGGTATATAAGGTCAGAAGTTGCAAATTGAGGTACATTACACAAGTTCAACTGAACTATATGTCATAAGAACTCAAGAACCGAAACAGTTGTGTGTCAATGTATTAACCTCAGTTGGGCCTAAAAAATTTGTCGTTTCATAATTGAGAATATCTCTGGAACATTTACTTGAGCTTCAGGTAAAGGATTCAGTATAAGCAAGCTTTAATTTGATTCCAATTCAATGATTTCTGACTAATACTTTGTTTTTTTGGGGGGGGGGAGCACCATGTAGTATCCACCCATTAGGCTGATCAGGGTGCGTTGAGCTAGATAGTATAGCATTGGGAAGGTAACAGCTTCATGCGTAACACCTACCAGATGAAACGAGATTTTTTGATTTACAAGCACCTGCAGGGATTGGATTAATTGATCAGATAGTCAAGTACGATCATGAATGTTTAGTGTACATCCAAATGGTAACTCATTTCCCTTTCTTCAGCCAAACATATTGTTGGGTTTGAATGTATCACCCTTTTTTACATTAGCCCCATCAAATGCATTTTGCCCAAGTTCCGAAATCTTCTTAAACCACTTCAACACTCCGGACAGCTGAAACACACTTTTGTTTATTACTAAAATTGAAATCGCCAAACCAATTAAATTGAATGGTGTGAGGGCCCTCTGATTCCTAAATCTGTCAGTGAGATGTTGGTGGATGCGGTCGATACTGGATTTAGGATAAGAATAGTCAACCGTAGATCCCTCATGCATGTCTCTTAAAATCTCCCACCATGTTTGTGATGAAACAATTCTTGCGCAATATTAATATGTACACAAATTATCAAATTATATTACAAAAGGGTAATGTGAGTTAACTTGCTATTATTCATTGTTACAAACTGTCCAAATTGTGTTATTTATCTAGACTGGGTTTCGTGCGCACAATTAATTGCAACTGATCTTTTTCAGTTCTTAAAATTTAGATGTGGGTTTCAAAGGTTTACAGCGTGCACAGTCCTAATATCGAGGACATATTAGTTCCTGTATTAATTTCCTTCAAGGGCTTCACATATTGTACTAAGTGATTTTGTTGTAAATGAAAATACAATTCTTGTAACAAAATACCCAGGTTCTTTTTGTGTTTTGCTTATTGCAGAAATATTTCTTTAGGCATTCACATTTCTTTTGCTTGCGCGATGTATAAAGTTATACCTTTTGCGTTTTACTCCCTGTTCTGTTATAATTTTAGGACTTTTCCCCATTGGCAAAAAGAAGTACTCGATTTGCACTTTATGAAAAATACACCAAAACAACAGCAACAAAAAATTGCCAAGAGAATCCACTGTTACCCTCTAGCTCTCAATGCTCCCTTTCTTGATTGAGGCAACCTTAAGTCATTACATCAAGCTACAAGTGAAACGATTTCACATCTCACGCTTAGCATTTCTATAGGGAGAATTCAATGAAAACACCATGCTTCTATTATTGTTAACCGTTCATTATTCAAGAAGTGTACTCGAGCATTCAAGACAATGGCGTTTCAGGAGAAAGACTTGTGGAACGAGAGAAATGTGGTCCTTCACATTGGTCCGTTGAATGTTAGGTATGACGTATTCGCCGTCGCCCTAAAGAAATACCGTATTATTACTTGTTGGGGAATCGACAAAAGTCCTGCTCTGAAGTCGGCCCATTATTGGCAGTATATGATGCAGAGACTTGACGCTGTCATCCGTCTGGGAACCTGAATAGTCCATGCCTTGTACAAAGTTTTCAAACAGTATAAATCTCGGCTTTTGCTCATAGTTATTCTGCGGCATATTAATGGTCGTCACATTGTTGCCGAATGGAGCGATGGCATGGGTTGGTCATCTGCGAAAGCAGCCGTGTAATAAAACCACGTGGGAGAAGGACAGGAACCTCAGATATCTGCTCAAACCTAGTGCGTTGGGACGGCAGGCATTGGTGAGTGAGTCGACCTTGCGGGGGGGACCAGTGCACGGTACATTGTGGAGGACGGGACC